GGCCCAGCTGGTCCATGCTCTTCTGCAGCGGCGTCTTTGGTGTCTGGAAGGCGAGGACACGGGGCGCTGACACGGGGTGCTGACATGGGTCCAGCACGCCCAGCTTCGGCCGCCCTTTCCAGAACGTCCTCAGCAGAGAGCGTCTGGCTGTGCCACCCAGGCCGGGCTATCGCTGGTGACCCTCCCTCTGTCCCTGAGTCGCTGGGTTTACAGGTGCAGCCACCACGCCTGGCCTCAGGTTGGTCTGGGGTTTGAACCCCAATCTCCCCATGGTCCCAGCCTGTGGAGCACAGCGTCTTAGCAGCATCCACCACCATGGTTGGGCCCGAAAGTGACATTCTGGAGAATCCTAGCGTCTTAACACATGAAGTGAAAGACCGCACACATGCTCCGTGTCCCCCTCACTGCGCGGGGCGACCGGGCTGGCGTGGCCGGCCTGGAGGAATCTCACACGCGTTAGCACGCCAAGCCCCAGCGGCTCCTACCTCCTCTGCCTGCATCATCTTAAACACTTCTCCGAACTGAGACCTCTCCCCTGTTCCGATCACGACGCCCTGTGTTCAGGAGAGAGAGAACAGTGACCCCAAGGGCTGGGGCCTGGGCTGACAGGAGGCCACAGTCCTCAGGCCCCGCTCACCTGGCCCTTCCCGTACTGCACCAGGGTCCCCATGAAGACGATGTTGCTCAGCGTGGTGAGGTCGCCCCCGGCCGCCAAGGGCCCATCTGTCTTACTGCACGGCTCAGCTTCTCCGGTGAAGCTGGACTCGTCCACCAGGAGGTCAGTGACCTACGGGAGGGTGAAGGGAGAGGAGGTGGCCCCCAGCACGGCTCCCCAGACTGGGCTTCAAGACTCACCCCACACCCAGCTCCTTAGCAAGAAGGGACCCAGGTCAGAGGGACGCCCTCCAGGCCTCTGGGAGCCAGAGAAGCTCGGACTGCGGGAGGCACAGAAATCTCTGACCTTTTCTAACGTTATTTGAAGTTTTTGTACCACTGTAAAAATGAAAGTAGTGGTTATTTCAGAGTACCCCTTGTTAGGGAGTTTCTCTCTTTTCGAGGTAAAAGAGAAGTACCCCAAACATGCCCTCAGGTTCTCTGTGGTACAGAACTTTCGAGATTCAGTAATAATCTTTTTTAAATACATGGGCTGCCATGAGATCCCAGTCCCCGAGGACGACAGGGGTCAACGCTGCTTAGGCAACGTCACATCGCCTTCCTTCCCAAGAGATCCCGTGGTACGGGGAGGGTCACATCGAGCCACACGCCCTATCCCAGCCTGCCCTGGGCCATGGCGTCTTACACTCCGGACAGGGAGGCACCAGCAGAAGTCACAGGGCGATCCTGCGGAAGGTCTCTGAAGGTGGCTCGAGGGGTCCCCCCTTTTAAACACGTTACTGACCCTGCAGCTCTGAGAGCACCTCCTACAGAACTCCATGCTTACTCTGCCGCCACCGAACCTTGGGAGGTTCTTACACTTGTTTGGAAGGGTTCGTAGATTACAGTCGTTCCAGTGTCCTCGGGGGACTGGCTCCACCTTCCACCTGGCTATCACCCACAGATACCAAAACCCATGGATGGCAGGGCTGGCAGGTGGCGTGGTGGTTAAGGCGCTGGACTCCCCACATGACTGATTGCGGTTTGAGTCTTGGACCTGGTGGCTTGCTTTCTCACTGTCTCTCGTGTGTTCTCTCTCTCATTAAAAAATAATGGTGATGGGGCCAGCAGGTGGTATGGTGGATAAGGGCGCTGGATTCCCACATGGCCAACCATGGTTCAAGTCCCAGACCTGGCGGTTTGCTTTCTCGCTTTCCCTTTCTCTCTCTCTCTCTGGTGGTCAAGTCAAAAAAACTAACAATAACAAATGGAATTAAATAAATAAATGAATCTTTAAAAATAATAATGATGATAAATAAAAATAAATGATTTTTTAAAGAATTATTTTATTTACTTTTATTTATTTATTTTAATTTGACTGGAGAGGGAATAGTATGAGAGAGAGAGATGATTTCTTGCTTTCTGTCTCTCTGTCTCTGTCTCTCCGGCAAGCCCACGTGCCCTATAGCAAATATCCAGGGACCAGCAGTTGGCTTAATGGCTGTCGCTGGACTCCCATGTAGTTGACTGCGGTTGGAGTCCTGGACCTGGCGGTTAAACTCATGCTGGGCGCATGTGCATGCACGCCAGAGATCCCGAGAGGAGAATGGAGGAAAAGGGATTGCGGAGTGGCCATCCCCCCAGGGGGTGATTTCTCACTTTCTGTCTCTCTGTCTCTCTCTGTCTGGCAAGTGCCTGTGCCCTATAGCAAAACCCTCTCCCTCCTCCAAAACAAAACAAAAACAAAAACAAAACAAAACAAAACAAAACATGGATGCTGAATCCCTGTTATAAAATGACGCATGTGGTCATCGGAAGCCTCGATGCGTTCAGCACAGAGAACAGACAGACCCGCCACGGCTGTCCAGACACCCGTAGTATTTACACCCGACCTGCACAGTCTCCATCGCTAGGGTACCTGCAGCCGCCTGCGCCTCAAATAAAAGCAAAAGGAAGCCCACGGGGAACCCGGCCGGTGTGCCCATGGGGCCCCTCACGCCTGCTCCGCAGCGGTCACCGTGGCCTGCCGGCCGCTGCTGCTGGCCAGACCAGACGCGAGTCAGCGGGCGCGGATGGCCCTGCCCACCCGGGTTTGGGGTCCGCACCTCTGTGAGTCGGATGTCTGCGGGGATCCGGTCTCCGATGGAGAGGGACACGATGTCTCCGGGGACCAGGTCTCTCGCGAGCAGGTGCTGCAGCTTGCCTTCTCTTATGCTGTTTGAAGTGGAAAGCAAACGCGCCGTGCTGACACCCGCCCTTTACGCGTGCGGGTACTTCGGAGCAAAGAGGAGAACACTGCCTCCTCACTAGAGGCACGCCTGTGCTTTCTGGTGTTCCTCTCTCCTTAGAATTATTTATTATTATTACTGTTATTACTTTAATTTGACCAGAGAGAGACAGAGAGAGAAAGAAGGAAATGAGAACACGAGCCGCCAGGTCAGGACTCCAACCGCCGTTGGTGGCCACGTGGGAGTCCGCCTCCCTAACTGCCACGCCACTGCCGGCCCCAGGTTTCACTTCCTTTAATTCACATGTCCTAAAAGAATTTTGGGCAAGTGTGTGGCCTCTCGGTGATCCTGCGTCTTGTCTGAAAGGTGGGGCAGCTACTGTTCAGCCTGCCTGGAGACAGAGTGGGCCACACGCCCTCCCGAAGCCTCTGCGGGTCCACGACCATGGTCAAACCCTCCAGGCGGCCAGCTGCACTCTGGTGGCAGGGAACGCTCCGCTCGGGTGCGAGCCGGTCTCAGGCAGTGGGGCTGGCAGGGCCTTATCGCAGCCAGGAGAGCTCCCCGACAGAACCGCGCCGTCTGCCCTTGGCACACCTCCAGTGCCGGCCAGGTGTCCTTCCCAGCCGAGAACTTGATCTAGTTCAGATACCCACCCTTTACCCGAGGCCAGGGGCCCGACAGCGGGTCATGCCTGGCTAAGACTATCGGGCTCCACCAGCCACCAAAGCCTCCTCCCTAGCGCTCCCACGCCGTCCTCTCCTGTCACGTGTGCCCCAGTGGACACTAAGGTTCTCCTGCAAATGAGCCTCCCCCAGACAGAGGTGGGCCACATGTTTCAGTCCCTGGTGGGGCCAGAGGGGGTGGGGTGGTTGAGGCACTGGACTCCCGTGTGGCCAGCTGTGGTTAGAGTCCCAGACCCATGGCTCACCTCTCCCTCCCCCTCTCTGATAAGCGCATGTGTCCTATACCAGATTTGATAATAATAATAAATAAAATTCAGTAATTCTTAAAAAAAGAAAAGAGAAAGAAAGAAACCTTGGTAAGAGCTGTGTGGCAGCACGTGGCCAGGCGGAAACTTCTGGGCATGGAACGGGCTGCTGCAGGCTGCCTCGAGTGAGCCCGAGCCCTTCCTCCCCTCCTGCTCCCCTCCCAGCTGGAGCTGTGCTGCCCGAGCTATGGGAGCCCCTGACCTCCGGGGCCCCCAGAGAACACCAAACCTCTCACTTCTCTCACACAGCTTTGTGCATTTCATGGCTTCAACGACTGCCCTCTTCCCAAAGCCCTCTGGCTACTTGTGGCCCAGGTCCCCTGGTGTACACACTGGTAATAGAGTCGAGGGCCAGAGAGGCGGAGTGACACACCCACGAACACACAGCAACCTGCTGGCGGGGGGAGCAGCCTCACAGCTCACAGTGGGATGTGCTGCTCCACACCATGACTACCATAAAGGGCACCCCTTCTGCAGACACGCAGACTTCCCGGCCCGCTGGCCCTCCTGACGAGCCAGGAAGTCTGGGGAAGTGGCACCT